TGTACTAAAATATAGTCAAACAATTAAGCACAGAGAAAATATGGACACTTTAATAAAGATTGTTGTATTTGTCTACCATTTGTTGTTTCAGGAAAGAGATAGTTAATACAAAGAACTACATAAAACCTGAAAAGATTATTGTCAGATTTCATCACGTAATACAATTTGTTCTAATGCTTATACGTGCTTTAAAACCAACAATAGTATCTAAGAACGTAGCCCTCTTCCATGGCTTTGGGACTGGTCTCTGTCATAGAGTGAGTTTACCCTAATCAGACGAAAAAATAAGTGTCCCCTGTTCAGTCCACCTCCTTCAAAGTGTAACTGCTGCAGCTGATGGTGTGGTTCAGCACAAAACACATTTTCAGTACAAATAACAGGTTATCCTTTTGCTTCCCCAGGTGTTTCACGAGTGTTTCCTCAATCCGTGTCAAAACAGAGGGACATGTGAAGAAGTGGGAGCCGGATATATTTGCTTGTGTCCGTTGGGGTTTACAGGCAAGGGGATTTTATTTCTATCAGCGATAACAAACAACTGTGGAAAGACCACGAGAGTGTCAGTTTTCTTGCAGGAACACAAAATCAAAGGGCTGTGCCCCGGGGCAAAGTGTTCTTTGAATGCGTTGTAAAGCAAAATTATAACGATGCTGGAAATAAACCAGAAAAAAGGGTTGTTGGAAAGAGGAAGACACTATGGCACTGTTCATTCAGTTTCCTGCTTGTTTTTCCCTCTGGGCTTGCACAATCCTAAAGCCCCCCCCTCCCCCCCAGTTTAATTAGTGAAGCAGTATTCCTCCGTCTGAACTGCAGTATGGTGGGACTGCCGTGTGTCACCCAGGTGGGTGCTGGGCTGCAGGGGTGAATGAAATGGGTCCCCTGCTATATGTGAAGCTCTTTGGGATGAAAGGTACTACACACCTGTCCCTTTTTATTATTTTGCTATGTGCCTGTAGAAAGAATTAGAATACATTTAACAAATTGATTTTGTATTAATTTTGGATTCTCAACTATGAAACTTTGCAAAGTAATGTACAATAATCATTTGAATATTTCCTTACACTTATATAGCGCTTTCCTGGACACTCCATTCAAAGCGCTTTACAGGTAATGGGGACTCCCCTCCACCACCACCAGTGTGCAGCCCCACCTGGATGATGC